CAGAATGCGTCGGTGAAATCGTACTCGTACGATATTTTGGTCGCTGAAACTCAACTGGGACAGACTTTTGATGGTGTAGGTCTTTTACTTGCGCGTGTAAAAAGGGTGCCGTTAATGACAGGTTTTCGTCGGAGGAGTCACATTTCACTGAAATCTCTTACGGTCTGTCCTACGGCCCGTCCGGATCGACGTGACCGATCAACTTGGAAATTGAGTCATCGGCAACGCTTAATTAACCCTGTTACACACTGTACTTTCAAAGATTGTGGTAGTTTGGCCGTGTTAAAAAAGAACTACGTGCCTTACCTTCGTATTAACAATACACGTTGTTTTCAAAGATAATACGAGTTAACGATACCTTCCGTAAACGCTGCACCATTAACTTCGATAATAATTTATCCTTTTTTTCCATCGAATGTGAAATTCAGGCGAATTACTCGGAATTTGCGAACGAATCCGCAGTCTCGTCGTAGTATCCGGTACTCGATGAAAATTTCGATCAAACGCCTTTCGAGATACGTCTGATCGTCGAAAGGATAAAGTATACTTAGAATATTTACGATTACGATAATCTGAAAGAAATTGCCTCTTAGTAACGTTGATCGCTAACTCAATTAACGCGAATTATCGGCTACAGCGTGAGAGGAACAAGAAAAATCGCAAACTAGTTACTCGCACACCGCTTCCGACGAATTGCAGTGAAATTTGTAAGACCCCTGCGTCGTATTCACCGATACAATCGCGTTAATATATCTTTGTACGTAGCGAACGTTACGCTCCGTTGCGGCTTACGATGCTAACCGTGTGGAATTTGCTAGAATTTATTTATCCTGCAAGACGGTCTGGGCGAATAGAATAATTTACGTATCGAACGTCATAAATTCGATCCTAATACAGCGATTTGTCGCTCCTATCTTCCTCCACACTTTCTCCTTCTTTTTCTTCTTCTGCAAATAAATCTCCGTTTGCGCGAAGATCGTCATCTCCTCGTCGGATGTGTACGATTGGAATCGTGGAAACGCGAATGATGTAAAATAAAGGAAACGGCGAAAGCTTCTAAGAAACGAAGATAAGAAAAACGGTGGAGCGAAGATTTCCAAAGGAAGAAGATCCTTTTTATTTTTCGCGCTTAATGGGGAAAAATGTTCGAGTCGGCTTCTATCTGCGATGCCGATCCGCCATTGAATCGGTGGAAATAACGCGCAAAGAACGCCATAATGTATTCGCGTACGATGTAAAACATGAATGAACCGCGTTACATTCCTGGAAAACCGGTATGCGATATCATCTGTGCTAACAGAACTCAATTAATTTTACTATCGATATTTATACAGCCATCTCGTTCGGAAACGCTGTAACTTAGATCCTCGAGGAAGAACGTTTCGTTGCTCTCGAACGTTTTTTAACCGAACGGAGTCGACTTACCAACGTAGAATTCGTATTTTCTGCCAAGTTAAAGCCTCGTCGCTGTCCAATACGGAATTATTGCGTTTATATTACCTATGCATCGAACAGCTCGCCGCAGCAGGTGCTCGTTCGCTATCTTTCCACTGCATTTCCTGCTATACGCGCGGACGGTTTACCTTTCTCACGTGATACTCGTCGCAATGGCCAACCTTTCGCGGCACGTTGTCTCTCTTGCTTCTTCTTTGCAGACGTTCTGCCAGCCAAATTCGCAAGATTTTACGAATTACGAGAAGCAAGCAAGAGAAGAAAGAGGTGACGTCGACGGTCGCCGCCGAATTCTACGATCTTTGGCAAAGATTTTACTAATCCGTCCGATAACACCGATCGTCGTTAACGATACCGATAACAGGCGATTTTCATCGTTTCTAGAACGCGAAACGCGGTAACGTAACGCGAAAGAGGGCGGATTTGTCAACGCGATGCGTCAGACGTGTGACGAGGGCGTCGCGCCACGGATACCACGAACCTAGGGATCGTCGCCGGAAAAGTTTAACAGGTAGTCGCTGTTGCGTTACCAACGACGAACGCATTATTACCTGTGCCACGCAGCCCACCGGATGCATACTGAATAAAGAACACAATAAATATATACACGTGCCGGGTTTATGCGTACGCGGACTCCACTGGACATTCAAGGCATACGTTCGTTAGGCGGTGCGTGCACGTTTCGCGGCTCGTCAGTCCCTTTCAGCATGAACGCGAACGTTAAACTCACGACTTCCACGAAACCACGCCGCCTTTCGTTCGGAACAACGTTCTGTGTTTCGTTGATAGGTGCTTCCACGAAAAGAACGCTTGAATTTTGCTCGACTATTATATTATGCAGTCAAAATGGAATAGAACGGTTCGGAGAACCACCGAACGTTAAAGTCTACGTCATTTTTTCTGCATTTTTCTTTTTCTTTTTTTTTTTTTTCTAGTGGATCCATCGCACGCAATGGCTAAGGAAAGTATTTTCATCGACGACATTGGCACGCTAGTTGATCGAAGTTCAAGTATATTAAATCGTCGTTAAAACTAGCTTCGTACGACTAGGAAAAGCTCGATACGACGTGAATGAAACGTAGAAACAGACAAAAGATATTTCGTCGAATACTTGTTGTAGCCGTCGTAAGTACGTGGGAGGAAAGGCGAGTTGAAAAGGTTTCAGCGAAATATTGTTAATAGACGTAATAATGTTTACTCACCAGCCATACATGATTGGTCGAAAGTGAGTTTCCAGATACTCGTAATCCAAACGCGATCACCTGTTTCACACCATATTACTAACAAACTGCGTCAATTATATAGATTGGAAAACACATCACGATCACTCGTCGATAGAACCACTCTAGCCACACTGAGAGAAATATTTATTTTGCTCTCGACGATTGTATCGATCGCTTTGCCTCTTCTTTCCTCTTCTTCCTCTTCCTTTTCTTCCTCTTCTTCACTCTTTGTCGTCACAGACACCGATTTCCAAACGAATATTTCACAAAACGACGCTCGTTTCAGGTACTCCACATACAGACACGTCACTTTTTCCTTTTTCTTCGCACGTGATAATACGAATCTTCCAATGGATTTTAACGCGTCACGCGATCTACGTTCGAGTCAATCGATCCAACGATTTACGTGTATTATATGCATCGTGTGAAAATGCTCGAGATACAAAGGCGAAGAAACCAGAAGTCCGTTTAAAGTAAAGTAATCGCGAATCGATGGTCGCGCGACTTTCTCATGCGGGCGTTGATATCACCATCGAACACGTTCTTCGCGGCATCAATGCCGCCGTATATTGGCTCGAAACGACAAGCGAAATGGCACGAATATACTTGCGCGATAGAAGCTAACAAAACTCCAACACCGAAACCAGAATTCATTTCATCTTCCGAGCGGAATTCGCGAATTTAACGATATCTGAGTTTCAAAGAAACATAAAATCGGACTAATCTTTTAAAATGATAAAACGGAATCTATACGGTCCGTAATGAAATTAATTCGAGTAGAACTTGTGCTTCAAATTCCCCGATATACTTAGAAAGGCGCGTTCGTGGCGAACAACTCGCGAATTTAAAATCAATTACTCGCTACAAAGGGCTATTAAAAATATCCTTGTTGCTCGCAGATAGCGATTAATTTATACTTTTTCTGTCGTATCCAATCTGCAGATCAAAGGATACTCGTACAGAACTAAGGTCAAACGTCTCACTGCTGCGAAACACCTCTTACAGGTTCTACAGGCCGAACAAGAACATCGCTCGCCCGAGCGTTCAAATCACCGAACGTCCGAACGGAATAAGGCGCAACAGACGCTCGAACACGCATCGCTCTCGATCGAGCATTTCGTCGTTGCTTCAGCAACGGATAAATTTCTCGTATGCTGCGCTATTTACGACAAGAACCGTTACCAAAAGGTTTGTGCGCGTAAACGCAGTCTCCTCCGGCGGAGCGACGGAAAAACACGAGCACTCGAGCAAAAACCAGCTCATACCGTTTCGTTCGAAGGTGGAGACGGACAGGTACTCGCACGAAACATTTAAATCGATGGAAGACGACGCGTTAAATCGCGTTGGCGGCAACCAGTTCGAAGGGACGGTTGCACCAAGACTGATCCATGGATCGTGGCACGGAGCAACGAAAGCCGTGGATCGAGCGAGCATCCAGAGGATCCCCACCATGTCTCTTCGTGGCTCACCCCCTTCTGCCTTTCGATTCCCCGCTCATTTCCAACCGCCACGAACGTTTCCCTTTTTCTCCTGGCCCTTAAACCCTCTTTTTCTCTTCGGCCAGCGAACGATTTCTCTCTCGAGCACGCCTACCGAGCGAGACGTTCGCCGCAATAAATGCAAACCGGGAACCGATCCTCTCGTACTTTCCGCTTCTGCCATCGTGCTTTACGGCCATGCTTACGGCAAGCTTCCACTCGAGTTTCCGACTTGAAAAACTCGCGTTTATCATCGCGATGAAGATCGTCCGACCGCTAGATCGTCTTGCAGATGGAGAAAAATTGAGTAAGAAAAAAAAAAGGCGCGTGTTATATTTCGCTGGATCAACGGTTGATGTAATTTCGCTTAGGATAGAAAGGAGAAACGCGAGGGAAAGCAAGCGATTGCGGGATTTCGCGATCGGTTCCATACGGCTCCGTAAACTCCATATTATACATATCATTGGATGTTTTAATTGGTCGTAGGATTAAACACGCGTTTTGATTTCTAGTAAATGTTTAAAAAATGTTGATCCTTAAATTGTATTCTTAGCTGTTAGTCTGTTATAAGGTTTCGTAGATACGTCATCTATTTTTAAGAAAGTTATATCTACGAAACTTTCAGAAATTGTACTGTCTTAGCCGCTAACTGATATCAAAATCAAAAAGTCGATAAATATTGACTCTTGATATTTTCTTTTATCAGTTTCGCGTCGTTGTTCGATTTGCTTGGACGATGAATTTCGTTTGTCGAATGAAATATGCAAAATATAAAGAAAAAAAAAATGAACGTAACTTAAACGTCTGTATAAAATGTTAAAGATGAAGATTGAACTGAAAATTTAAAATGTAACTGCAACCACAAACATTTGGCAGGATATTCGAAATTTTGGTATTTAATTAACGAAATTATGGGAAATACAAACCTTCGAGATGTATTATCTTTGTATTAAGGTACTTTTGCATATGTTATCGTTCCAATAATCAATCCTCTTACATATTTGATTTCACATTAAATTTCCTTCGATAATCATCCTTATCGATAAATGGCAAATATTTTTCTAACGACGCGTATCTTTCTCTCCCCTTCGATTATTTAACACTGTAATTAATGTTATTAATCGTTGTTTCATTAGAAAATGTAAATTACTCGTGCCAACTTATAAAATAAAGATAATACAGTGAAATAAGAAAAGGGATGGATGTACACGTAAAAAGCAAGCAAAATGCATTAAAAATTTAAAAGAGCATAACGATAGAAACAAAACGTAATGCCTAATATTAGGAAAATCAAAAGTTTTTCGGATAACGATGATTCACAAAATCAAATACAGCGGGACAGAAAAATGCGCGAAAATCGCAAAAGATCGAACGATAAATACCAGAACATAAAAAACAAACAATTATGCAAAATCAAATTAGCTAAATACATTGTTAATGATCTAAAAAATTACGGGCCGGGTAATTTGCTTCACGTATACGTGCTAAGTACTATAACAGGGAAATCTATTCGAATATGGAGATCGAAAGATAGCTTATATGAAACGATAGATGATCCAACGAATCAGAGATCGACCAAGGATTTCATCGACGTAGAATATCACAAACAGTCAAATTTAACAGGACATTGGACGCTATTAAATAATATAGATCCTATTAATGTCGAACTGGATTTAAACGCGTGTCTATTTGCAGTAATAGCTGCTCAAAGTGGAGAAAGCACTGACGATTTAAGAAACAATACTATTGATTTTTTAACAAATAATTCCAAACATTTAATCGATCAAATCGATAAATTTTTATCTTCGAAAAATAATGCAAAACAGCTAATGATCGGCGGTGCTCGATATATCGGTACATCACCTAGAGCAGCGGGTATTATTCTCGACAGGTCGCAAAATGTTTTGTGTCACGATTGTAGAGCACTTGGTCATCCAAGAGGGCACGCATCCGACAGATTTGCTACAGGCCCAGAGGATAGCGTCGAGAACTATTCTCGAACGACGCATTCAAGGAAATCTGGTTTTTTGAGTAGAACGGATCAAGACAATGTCGCCCATGTCGTCTTAAGTCATGCAAAAGCGAGGCGAGCAATGGAGGAATTAAATACTGGCGCGACATCCATAGCGGTAGAGTTGTCGCGTAGAGATTTACAAACAAATCATTTTATTCTACCTCAAATGAAGGAATTCTACAATGGTACGGCGGATTCCGAGGAATTAAACACTAATTGTGTTATAATAGTACTGAGACATCATATAGGAAAATATAGAGATCCCAATGCAGACGTTTTTGTACATACATTTTATCCAAAAAATTATTGTTGATACTTGCTACAATATAGAACAAGTTTGAAATATACTAGATAGATATATCATAAAGATATACTGAAAAATTCCTTATTATTAAATATAATATAATTATAGTATTTATAGAGTATACAAAAATTAAAAATCAATTTGTTTCATGGATACACCATGTCCACACTAATGTTCTCAAACTATTTCTCGCTATCTGAACTTCATCGTCATCTTCTAAACAATCTATTTTGGTTACGTATTCACAACCGAAACGTAACATATCGTCACATTCCCCTGTATTATCTAATATTTTTGTCGAAAATTCAAGAATTTCTAATATCTGTTCTTTAGTAACAATTATTTTCATATGCTTCGAGAGTAGTAATTTTTGCAAAATGTTGATATATAATGTAAAAATCTCAATCCTGATATCTTTAGTTAAATGTGATTTCAAAGATAATGCAATACTTAAAACCATTAATTTGTAGTGAACAATGTCCCCTTTCATATTCAATATGGTATTTAGAAGTTTGTCCGTCATTTTCACTACGAGCTCGAAATGTTGTATTTCGCGTTTAGGCAAACTCCTTGCAACTTCTAATAACCAGGCAAGTATTCCATAACATTCTATAAAAAGTATAGAGGCTTTCGTTATTTTTAATGTAGCATCAATAATTTCTAATACAAGTTTCTGAAATAAAAATACATTAGATCAGTTTAAAGAAAGAAATTAGTGATTCAATGTTTTTAAATCATACCTTCGTATTTGAGTCTGATAGATTAGAAATATAAAAGTCTAGGAGCATTTTAAACAAAACACATTTAAAGGCTATGTCCAATTCAACCTCTGTTTTTATACTATCACGAATATTCTCCAAAATCCAACATCTGTGTGCTTTATATTCCACATCAGAACTGTGTAAAAGCTGTAACAACTCGGGTATTGTGTTTATATCTAATGCTGGTTTAGCTACCAGAAATATTTGTAAGACTGAATAAAGGGGGTGCAATGGTTGTGTAGCGATCAAAGACGTTCTTGCTAAAAACGTGGAAACTAAACAGTTTATACGTATATTATTCAGTTCTAATTGCTGTGATATAATACCGTAACGCAATGCATCTATTAATCGCATCCATAATAACTTTGTTTTGGAGCTATAAATAGGAAAAAATTTATATATATATATTACACCATCACATATGACAATATATATAATTAAATTATTATTTTTTTATAAAATATACCTAGAAGCTTCCAAATGAGTATAATATCTTGTAATAATAGTATAAGCTATCATTCGAACGTCAGAATGCTTGCTGCTACATGCAGCAAATGTTAATGCTAGTGCACCACTTTGAGCAACTTTATGACACGATACAACATTATTTTCTGATAGTAAAAAATATAATAACGGTAAATAAAATGCTGGATCGTATATATTATTTGCTCTATATAATTCACTATCCTATAAAGTATAAAATTTAAAAAAACAAATGGTTTAAATTAAGTATTAAAAATGTATTAAAGTTCAATACATTTTTTAATATTTGATGAAAGTCAATGAAAACCACCTTCAGAGATCTGTCCACAGGGTATTCTTTTATAGTATTGTTTACAATATCTTCTTCGAATAAGTTAAGGACTTGCGTAACAGATGGTTGCCTCCACAAAGTCGTGTGTATTTCACCTTTCACGCTATAATATGTTGTGGCCACATTACCCCATACATATGGCCGATATTCATAAATATTAACATTATTATTTTCATAATACTGCAAAATCTGAAATAAATCTATACATTAATATTTTTCTAAAAACTAGTATAAATTTTGCTGGTATTAATTTTATTTATTCTTACGAATAAAATATATTGATCGGCTTCGTTTAAAGTAGCATTGTACGCCGCTAAATAAACAGGTATGTGTGTTGATCCCATAACTTCTTTATTTTTTCGCATAAGAATCCATAATAACTCTACTAAATCTCCTAAAAAATAAAATAATTAAATACATTACAGCTATTATAATTACCCGCTATTATTATTATATACGTACTTTTAGTCTCTGATGAGCCTAGCATAATATTAATAAATTCAGAATGAGAAGTTGCCATTTCAAACAAAGTTTTGACATATTCATTGTTACTATCATTTTTATATGCAATATCACATAAAATGCTTAAAGTTCTTAATATTGGCAATTCTTTCTTATTACTTTTTAATCCTTTAAGACCAAATTTTAAAGAAAATCGTGTAAATTGTAACCACGAATGATTGGTACTTAAGGCCCCAAATTCAAAAACTTTCCCTTTTTCTCTTAAATGTTTAACAGCATCGCTCAATATTTCACAAAGGATATGAAGTTTTTGTACATTCTTGGACTCTTTCTTTAAAGTTACAGTAACGATGTAAAGAAAAATTTGTATCAAATTCATGATAAGCTTTTCACTCTCTGTTTCTAAGGCAGCAAATTTATTGTACATACTTTGAAGAATTTTTATGTAATGTATAGATACCATATCCAATTTATCACCAGTTTGTAAAATCATATTACATATATCATTACATATTTTAAGATTAAATGTAGTTTTAATTAAATAAGAAATTGCAATAACATTTTCTTCTATCCAAGGTTTTACATCTTTAGGATCACATAGATAACATGTAATTTCAGTTTCATAATGTTTCTTCAAATCTTGCAGAAAGTCCTGATCCCAATTAAAATTTAAATTACTTGCAACTATTGGCAATATAATGTTACCCTTTTCCATATTTTTCGACTTTTTTACACATTCCACAAAAATAGGTATAAATCTTATATTTTTTCTAATTAAAAATGAAATTAAATTTACAGTCGTATCCGTAATTTTTGTTGATAATAATGACGTAAAAATATCTGCAATTACACAAATATAATAAAACGTAATAATGTGGTTATGAAATAACGCATTAACGTAAAATTTTGTGAAAACAACTTACTTGCATCAATGCCACCAATATTGAATGAAAAATTTGAAAGATATCCATGTAAAACTGTTTCCCATATTTCAAAATTGGTAATTGAGTTCAATTTTAAGAAAAGTAAGTGTAAACACAAATCTCTAACAAATTCTGTATCAAGTTCAAAAAATACATTTCGCTCAGATTTTATCTCATTAGCATTAATAATTCCTAAAAGTTTAGAAATTAAATGCCCGTATACCGATAAACTTTTCTTATCGTTTGAAATAAACATAGTATCCTCTAATTTCACTAGCCTCTTTAATAAATATACAACATCTTTTGGTGTTGGTTGCAATACCTCTAACAAGGTGATAATCTTATCAGGATTATTTATCTTTTCATCTTTTTGTCTTTTGTCTATCATTTTACATAGTTGCGTAAGTAACTTATTTTTGAAATGAATAAATAAATTTCTAGTATTACATTTTTTATGCAAATTGTTTAACATACTACAAACGTCGGTAACTGTAAGAGTTATCATACTTCTTACAATATTTTTATTCTTTTGATAAATTGGAGAAAAATAATGCAGAATAATAGGATGAGTAAAGATCGATTTTGCACATTCTTCCAAAATAATAACGCTATCTACACTATCCTTTGCAATATACAATAGCGACATTAATAAACATCTATAATTGTCATATTGCACTTTTGTTAAAACACTCTTTTTGGTATGTTGTACTAAATAGAATGTAGTCATTTTAAACAAATATACAACTTCATATGTAGACAAGGAATGATGAATTGTTATACTTTCCTCATTATACTGAAAAGTAATTATATTGCTGCCATTAAATATTTGATCCATCTGTAATTTAGTATCAGACAAAAGCACTAAATTTAATTTACATAATAAAGTCATTGTGGGAATTATATTTTTAATATAAACGAGTTGATTGCCTTCTAGCCAACTCAATAAATACTCCTTTACTGGTAATATTGGCATATCTTTAGTTAAATATATTAAACATTGAGGTATTACTTGATAATGCAACGTATGTATTAAAACGTAAGACAAATAAGATAAAATCGAAGGATGTGAATCTTCCTTTGTTTTATGTAACATGCAACATAAGAGAGGTGATATTGAGGTCAGATGTTGCATATGTAAAATATTATTTTCCAAATTTTTATGAATAGCAGATTTTTCTGTCAGTTCTGCAAAGTGCAAAAAAAGATGACATCGCATATTATATCAATGCGTTTAAGAATAAAATTAAAGTTTACCGTCAAATATGTCCTGTAATTTGCCAATATGTATTACTTCATGATTAATAATTTCTTCAGCTTTAATTATTTCATTTACATATTTTTCTATATCTTCAGCAGCTTTTTTTACAATACGAACAAACCATTTTATTACTTTCTTTCTATCATCTAAATTTATGAAACCATTAATCCAAATATCCAAATGATCATTACATCCCTCAAACATTCCAGTAGCATTTAATAAAGTTCTTATTGTTGCTTTTGTACATAATGTAACTGAAGATGTTTCTTCATTTAAAGCAGATATTAGAAATGATAGTGCATCGTTAAATATTTTCTGAAAAGAAACGTTTATTTATCAATACAAAAAATACAAAATATTCGTTATTAATTATTTAACACGAATTATAATATTTTACATACCTTATCTGGTGAAAATTCATAAGGCTGCACTATAACAAGAAATTGAATAGCTTTTACTTTTATAACATTAAATTCCACGACACTGATATCTTCCAATTTGTTCAATGTATTTAAAAATGTATCAGATGACATATCACATAATGTATCTAACAATTTTGGACACACTTCAATATACACATGCAATAAATGTAGAACAGCTGTCAGGTGTTCATATTTCTTTGGTTCTACAATGTATTCCATGTCATTACCGTTATCTTCAATTTGATTTGATGTGAAAGCACCACTCCACACATTCAATATCATATTTAAATTTGGTACATTCTAAAGAGAAAATTATTATTTTGTTGCATTTTATAATTTACTCAGGGATTAATTTTTAAATCTTTAATTTGTGCTTTACCAAAATATACGTTTACCTTCA